CTTATTACACCCCATCTCAGTAGGCACGACTCGACTTACATCTGCAAATTATTTCACACACTCCAACACATAGATGCTGACAGATACTAGCGTTTATATCAGTCAGTATATATATATATATATATATATATATATATATATATATATATATATATATATGTATCAGTCAGTATATATATATATATATATATATATATATGTATCATTTTAGTATATATATATATATATATATGTATGTATCAGTCAGTATATATATATATATATATATATATATATATAGGTACCGATATGTATAAGCAAAGATCAATGTTTATGCAAACATATGCATATATTTTTAGATTTGAAAGTTTCTAGCCAAAAGATATTCATTATCCTGCTCACACTTTTCATCTGCCAATACAAAGTTTCCCGGGTTTCGCCGAATATTCAAATATCTCTCGAAATCTCTTTTTCAGCAGAAACAAATGTTGATTTGTCTCATATTTTCCTTCTTTCGGAAAATAAATTCTCCTAAATTTTTTTTTATACTAATGTTCGCCCAATATAAGGCCAAAGATACACCCTATGTAGAGGGTTACTGTGTGATGTATGAGGGTAAGAAAGGGCATCTAGTGAAGTTCCTTGTTGTATGCAGGAAAGATTTGAAGAGGTCAAAATCGTAGCGACTGCGAAAATGTCTTCACCGGAGTCTGTTCCACAAAGCAACATTTCTTGGGAAACTTGCTTCTTACTCATGCAATACGAAGGAATGATTCACACTTGTGTATGTGGCATGGTGAGTCCTAGTTCCAGGCCAGGGTTGGTGGGACTAAGGAATGTAGTTCACCAGCACACATGCTATATAAATAGTGATAGAGCAGCGAGAATCCCTGTGAAAATTAATTCAAAAACCGCTTTGGAATAAGAAAGTCAACAGTCCATCGATTAAATCGATCCCCTGTAGTGAGCATATTGAAACAACCGCCTTAGTTTCTTTTCTTTCGCCATACGGGCAGTTTTAGACGCACTAGAGTAACGGGGTGTAATCGATTTCTATGTTCCCTTCAGATTTGCAGTGGTGTGCAGTATTATGAATCTATTTTCGGGTGCTATGATGAAATTTGTTTGGTCTTGAAAAACTGTGTCATCCGTGATTGTATCCGATTTTTATCATGCCCAGACACTATTGTCTCGACTGTCGATTAGTTGTCCTACGGCCATTGCGTCCGATGGACGTTACTACAAGGAAACGCACGAAAATTATAACGCTACATGAACACAATGGCAACTCAATGTACTGTAGACTGGCCCGGAAACGCTCGTGATTTAAATGTAATCTGTGGCCAATCTGCAAGGAAAGACTTCGTGGAATAGACATACGAAGTACTAACATGTTCACTTGGTCGTGTTTCATTGGGAAAATACGAGAAAAAGTAAATAATAACGGAATTATTCGCTTTGTTTCAATTAATTTACACATGGGTGTATCTATCTATCAATCTATCCATATATCATTCTATCTATCTATCTATCTATCTATCTATCTATCTATAATTCATCTATCTATCTTGGTATTCAGGACTTCCGATGACTGTCCGTTTACAACGACCTTCAGGAACCTCCCTGTTAGGATGGAATAGAAACTTGGGAGAGATCTCCCAAAGATACCATTGTTGGAGAGTTTATGTAGCATTGGTTGATGCCACACTTTGTGAAAGGCACTTGATAAATATTAGGCAATGATCCTCGTGATGTAAGCTAAATGGCACAGTCACTCGAATCCTAGGATACCAGTCAACTATGGTAGAAAGCTAATCCCAGACATTTTTGTGTTTGTTCAACACCCACAGAGCCCACCTGTGGTTAATACTCCAAATATACTGTTATGGGGCCCTCCCCTTTTTCATATAAGTGGACTCGACCAGCGTGTTACTTGGACTGCTGCCGTGATATACCCAGAGTCAGTCAGAATATAGAGAGAAAGAGAGAGAGACAGTGATTGTGATTGAGTTGGAGGTAGAGTAATAGTGTGAGGTAACCGCTTGTAGAAGTCACAGTTACAAGCACGTAGACTCTAAGGAAGTCCTACTTCGAGTCTGTATATATATATATATATATATATATATATATATATTATTATTATTATTATTATTATTATTATTGCTACTAACGGCGTTCCTGGATTTACTAACAGTATTACCCATTGTATTATTGTGTAAATACATTTAATGTCATATTTCATTCTTGCGTTTGAAATTCATCTCGGAATCCACAACATATACTTACAACCTTTCTACAACAGTTTCTGGGTGAGAGCACTTTATCTAGCCTGATCAACAACCTGGGATTAAGGCTAGCACGCACAAATTTGGGTAAACGCTTTTGAACTCTCGCAAATAAAGGCTGGGCAACTCCGGGCCAGATATGACAGCAATACGCCATTTTGGTTTGATCTGGCTATTATAAAGATACACTATAGCAGGATGTGTCAGATACTTACTGGGGCGGTAAAATATATGGACAATTTTTAATCGGATACAATTAAGGTCTGGAGGGAGCTTCAGACCAAATAGACGTCAAAGGAAAAGAGATTCCTTGAGAGAAGTCCCTTTCATTATGATAGGGGATGGTTTGGGGTCTGCTCGCTGGTGGTGAAACGTTACTAATTTGGTTTTGGCCGTATTGAATTTTACAAGCCAGCGCTTCCTCCACTGAATCACCTAGGCTACGTCAGACACGAGATAAGATTCTAATTTCTTGTCTTCCGGATCTTTGGAGGTGAGCATGTAAACTGTTGAATCATCCACATAGATACTCATTAAGGATAACTTAGGCAGATTATTAATAAATAGTAAAAAGAGGGTAGGAACAATGAGGAGACCCTGTGCAACTCCGGCATTGATCTTCTGCGCTTCAGATGACTGGCCTTTAACAACGACCTTCAGGAACCTTACCAGTAAGGACGGACTCGAGTCCTGAGAGAGATCTTTCAGAGATTCCATAACTGGAGAGTTTATGTAGCAGCGGTCGATGCCACACTTTGCGAAAGGCATTTGGCAAATGTTGGGCAATGATCCTCGTGCTGTATGGTAAATGAAACAGACACTCGAATCCGAGGATGCCAGTCTCCTAGAGCGGCTAGCTAATCCCATTAAAATCTGTGTCTGTTCCACACCCACAGAGCCTACATGTGGTTTACACTGCAAATATAGTTACAGCTATAATTACAACCTTAGTTACAGTTTCTGGGTGGGAGTACGTTATCTAACCTGATCAACAACCTGGGATTAAGGCTAGCACGCTCAAGTGGGGGCAAACGTTTTCGAATTCAAGACAGACAAGGAAAGTCTGGACAACTCCAGCCCAGAAATGTGAGCAATATGCCATTTTTGGTCAGATCTGGCTCTTGTAAAGATACAGTATAGCAGGGTGTGTTAGTGTTATGCTATAGTACCTATTCTATTGTAATGGACTCTCCCATAGATAATAGATAAGTAAGTCTGGCAGAATAGCAGTGGCAAGTCTGGCGAGGGAATGGCATCTCGCGGTCTTTGACTGCGGACGCCTCCTGTCGAACTCTCTGCGTACTGCGGACGCCTCCTGTCGAACTCTCTGCGTAAGGAACCCGGACGAGGCTTTGCCGAAGGGCAAGGTTTCGTCCGGGGAAGTAGACAGGGCCTGAACCCGTATAATCGGCTTCAAAAGGCTATTTTTTTGGCCGAGCCTACGGGGCTCAGGGAAACCACATAAAAACCGGCCTTGTGCCATATTCTTTTCCGTGGGTGAAAGATAAATACCGAATGGCATCTCGCGGTCTTTGACTGCGGACGCCTCTGCGTGTCGAACTTTCAAGGTTTGCGTAAGCAGGCCTGAACCCGTCTAATCGGAACCCACGGGCTCGGAGAAGCCCTAATAAAACCGCCTTGTGCCTTTGCCGTGGGTGGGCAATCTCGCGGTTTCTGTCCGAACTCTCTGGGAGGAAGACGAAGGGGCCTGAACCCGTCTAATCGGCTTAAAAGGCTATTTTTTTGGCCGAGCCTACGGGCTCGGAGAAAACCCTTTGTGCAATAAAACCGGCCTTGTGCCATATTCGTTTCCGTGGGTGAAATGATAAATACCGAATGGCGTCTCGAGTTCTCTGACTGCGCACGCCTCCTGTCGAAATCTCTGCGTTAGCAGAGAGGAACCCGGACGAGGCTTTGACGAAGGGCAAGGTTTCGTCCGGGGAGGTAGACAGGGCCTGAACCCGTCTAGGCGGGTTCAAAGGCTATATTTTTAGCCGGGCCTACGGGCTCGGGGATACCCACATTAAAACCGGCCTTGTGCCATATTCGGTCCTCCTGGGTGGAACGATAAATACTGAATGGTGTTGAGCGCGTCAGTCGAGATTCGGACATTTGAAGTACCAACCATCACAACTAGATTGCTGCGCCATTGACTCTTATTTTCCAAGTTCCTAACGTTTTTGTACGTCGGACCTAATTTAGGACTACTTATTAGAAATACAAGCCTCCACTGTGAAAATACTCCACAACAGTTAGATACTTATTAGAGCGGTACAATGTACCGACTATTTTCCCAGAATTTTTAGTAATACATCTGATATACCGGATACACTCGAGGTCTGGGGAGCCTTTGAGTTCCAACAGACGGACGTTCTCGTAGCTCAGCCTCGTGATGAATACTTCTAGAAATCGATAAATAGCTTTTAATTTAAAGCCATGTCACTTTAAACTAGGCCTAACCGATAATTGCGCCCACCATAGATTCTTTTCGTTTATTTTCTGTGAATTGCTGTGGAGGGGGACTAGCAATTGCCTTCTTAAATCTTTTGAAAAGAGCTGACCTTTCTTCCAGACTCGCTTCCAAACAAGTGTAGCGAGCACAATCTAAGCGGATATTAAATCCTTAGCTTAAAGGGCAGATGGATCCATGCCTTTTGAATGGGGAAGAAGAAGAACGCAGCAGACGAGTCCAGACGTTGAAATTGGCAGGCCGATTCCATTTTCCAAACCTATAAC